GCAAATCATCATCATCATCGCTGTGAATGAGCTGAGCTCCAGCTCTCTTTCGCTCTCGCAGTCTGACGACCATGGACGTGCAGTGAGAGAAAAAAAAACAACATATCCTGATTTTTCATCATTCAAATTCTGTTTCTTTTGTGATTCCTTTGGCATTGTGTATGTTTTATTTATTTTTGTTTTCTATTGCATTTAAACCGAAATCAAATACGAACGAGTAGTGAAATGCAATTCAGAGGCCAACGGAATCAAAACACCGACATTTATGAGATGTTCAGTGTACACACAAAAGTATCGGATCGCATATAACAAACACTTGAGCAACAACACAGCAATAGCCATCTCAACTGCACAAAAATAAACATGTGAACGGAACGTGAGTAATAACAAACCGAAAGGATGGAAAACTCTCTCTCTCTCTCTCTCTCTCTCTCTCTCTCTCTCATTGATGTGAAGCACGGCAAATGAACGATGACGAATTCGATACATGTAATTTAGAGCATTGTTTGTGTGCAGCGCAACGGCTTGAGCATCCAATTGAAAATTACGAACGAAAAATTTTCTGCTTACATTCGAAGCGTATTTTGTGGCGAGGAGGAAAGAATGTCTCGCCATAATACAACAAAACAGAAAAAAAAACATTCAGAAAACTCCTTTATTAAAATTTCTTCGTGTTTTAATTTTTCTTCATTTCGGTGAAATAATTTTGCTGGCCGAGGAATGGTGCAAAGGGAAAAAAACACTCGCCGGAGCGAAAAAATAAATTGCGAAGCAAACACAATGATGGTATTCAAGACGAAATTACACTTCATTGAATTACTCGCGCGAAAGATGTAAATGCAATTTGGTCCAACTGTGTATGTGTGCTGTGTGGCGTTGCGTTGTGTTTTTTTCCATCTCTCTGGTGCAGGCAAAGTGAATTTGTTGTAGTTTATTTTGAATTTGTTGCGGCTGCTCCGGCAATTTATGCACAACATTGCACATTGTTTTCTATTTGATCGTTTCACTTTCCTTGAAATTGTTGCATCGTATATTATTCTGACATTTGCTTATGGTTTTGGCTTCGGCTCTCCGGCTCACGACCCAACTTCGCCATAAAATGTGCGATCACTTTCGATGCATTGCATATTCTCATTCGCTGTCGTTCACAAATGAAATTCCATATTTTATCATTTTTCGGTTGTCGCCTCCCATTTATCGCCAGCTACAGCGTGCAAAATGAATTTTATTACTTTAAAATGCAACACTTCATTCAACACATAATAATCCGAAGGCTTACAAAACTTTGCTTTTACGTGTCGTTTCAAAGAGATCATTTCATTCCTGTGTTGTTTTTTTGTTCCTTCAATTCTTTTAGTTCATCAGCCACAGTCGTTTGTTGTTTTTTTGTTTTCGTCTTCCTCTGCTGCTCCATCGATTTATCTCGTTTCCATCATCAGGTCTTTAAAACGTTTTTAATGTTGACACTTGAACAATGTCAACGTTCATAAATTATTTATGATTCTAAACTGCGTCCGTCTCTGTTTGTGTAATTCTGCCGTTTTTTGATTTCATCAGCTTAATTTTTTTTCGAAGCATGTAGCTTCGGCAAGAGAGAAGAAGAAGCAGAAAAAATTACTCTCTTTAAACAGATTCCGTTCGGACTAAATATGTTAAAGGAATTTGCAAGGCCCTAAAACACTATGAATGATGTTTTTTTTTTGTTTTTTTATTCGCCTCTCTTCGACTGGCTCGCCGGCTCCAGACATTCGCGAATTCATGTTAAGAGCGAGATATAAATCATAAAAATATGACATTCATGTTTTCGTGCTCCGCATAAATAAAATCGGTCTTTGTCGCGTATCGCGACCGTCAAAAAGATGGTTAACATTTGATTTCATTTTGGTTTTATTATGATGCACACAATGTACGAACATCTGTCAATTAACGGTCATCCAAATTCACGAAATTCAAAATCAATTTGAATAATTCAACGGCAGTCATTTCAACATTGTTTTTTGCTCGCTCTGTCTCTGTTTCAGCCGACAGCGAATAATACGAGTAATAATCACCAGCATTATCTCCGGACAGATTGATAAAAATAATGAAAAAAAAGGAGTTGCATGGCCTGCTACACGAAAGGTTATACACGAATTCAACATGCAAAATGGTTTTTGAAAAGTGAATCGAAGAAAGAAAAATCGGATCAGGAGCCCGGCTAATGACTATATCAAGCAAATGAGTGTCTGTAGCTACAGCACGTGCTTGCACCTCAACCACGATTAAGCCGAGAATTGTTTGCAGTTAATAACAAAAACACCGGAGATGCAAATGTTCAGATAAAAAATTTCGATGCCGTCGCTCAATTTTTCTTTCCTTGCCTTTTTTGTTTATCCAATGTGCACGGTTTTGCGAATGTTCGGGGCGCTCTGTGTGTTCAGACTCATCAACAACGAATTGGAAATAGTTCAAAATTGAAGAGAACACCAACGAAACACGCTATATATGCCGAAGCGCATGTTATTCATTTCTTAATATTCGCAATTTGACTCGAGCAAACAACGAATTTTTGCCGGTTACACAAGCAAACGATCGAACGAGAAAAAAAACACAAAACAAAACACACGGCATACTCGGCACACACAAAAAATGTCCCGCGGACCATTGCCAGTGCATGCTCTTTGCTTCAGCACTTTGACCATAAGCACAGCTGCTGCTGCTGCTTCTGCTGCTGCTGTATGACTTCAGGGGAATAAAACGTCCAAAAGAATATTTATTTTCAGCGTGAGAACGATAAAGCACACTGCATGCATAACATTTACCATTTCGAAGAAACGGCAACGGAGGAACAACAACAAAAACCAACAACAATCACAGCAAAAGCAACACACCGACCGACTCTTCGGCACACATATATCAGTCGAGGCAAACATTAGCTCACTGATGTTATTAACCTACCGCACACAATGCACCATTGATATCGTCTCTCGTACACACAGCACATACCGAGCTCTCGTTCATTCGCTCATTCTCCTCTTTTTCATTGCTTGGTATTCAGCTTAGTGTCGGTGTACTGTGCATTTCCCCTTCGCTCGCACGGCCGTTGTCACAAATCCAAATGTCCCAAAAGACTGTTGTTGTGCCTTGTGTATGGCTTTGCATAGATTCCGATTTGAACTTGGTCAGTCTGCATTTGGAGTTCGGTGCAAATAGACGTGGAGAAAGAGCTTTGCGTGTGTGTGTTTTTTTTTGAAAACAGAAATAAAAGCGTCAACGGTGAATTTGCGTACGAGAAAATAACGACTTGTTATTTTGAATACACATCTGAAATTTAGTATTCGTATCTGATTATCGAGCAATTAATGGTGATTTACGAAGAAAACAAAAAAAAACGAGTAAAATGTTCGTCTCTAATTTTATTGGTCTTAAATTTAAAGATGGGTTTTAACTGATATTGATCAGTCAATTTGTCAAGCGAAAATCCATTTTAACATGCAAATTCATCAATGTCTACTTAAATAAGTATGCGAATTTGGAATATGTGCGTGTGTAGTCTAGTTTTGTGGCACAACAAACGTTTGGATGCTCGTTATGTTCAAGTGATTTACCAACGCTGTAATTCCAAAATAGAAAAACGGTGTATTTAAAGAGAGAATGAATAATCAAAATTGTTGAGTGTCAATTGGCTATGGGTTCCAGTTGTGTTTGATCTGTTTGACGTGTATTTGATCAGTTTTTAACATGTACATACACATGACTTTGCACCGAGTATTGTGCGAAGCCGACACATTCGAAAACAACATATGATTGAAAATTTAAAAACCGCGTGAAATTTTAAACATGTTATTGATTTTTGATTCGTGATTTGCTACGATCACATCTCTTGAGCCATACAATAAATTAAATTTGAAAGAAAATAGAATCATCTTCTAATAGCAATGTTTCGCGCGATCGCCTCCGATCGATGGGAATTTGTAACTTTTACTTTGAGAAATGGGAAGAAAAAGAAACGGTTAACGAGTTGGGCGATCTTCTTCTACCTCTCAATCGAAACTTAATTTAGGGCATTTTTAGTGTGTTTTCGGTTACGAGCAAAATAAATTAATCGTTTGTGTGTGTGTGTGCCACAAAATGAAGCTATCAACACTCAATCGATGGTTCATATATTTACTCCGGTTTTCGCATATTAAAATCGATTATCGCTTGAACATGTAATGCGATGGGAAATTCTATTAAATGGCCAAAATATTCAAATCGATTGGCCATATTTGTCCGATTCGATGAATATTTTATAATATCAATTAATTGGAATTTTAAATTCCGACAAATTTTTATTTTCCATTCGTTTGATTCGTTCGTGTGTTCGCTCAAAGTCTCAATTAAATCGCTCACAAAATTATGAGATATGCTATGGAATTGGTTGTATTTTATGCTTAACTCTTCTATCGTTGCCATTTTTCGAATAAATAAATAAAATGAATTGCTATTTTGTTATTCATTCATGAAAGCAAAACGAGTGTGAATGAAACACCGCACCGCCACCGAGAAACACCCGAATATAGCCACAAATCAGAAAAAAAGAGCAAAAACATCAAAATTCTATTGCACGAGTATAAATTTGTATCCGCTACGTGTGCATCAAGTGAGTACGAAAAAATTAAATTGAGCGTGTGTGCTCGTCACTGTGTGGTGCTTTTGAATTCGCTTTGTGAAATGGAACATTGGACCTGAAATTGTGTGTGTGTGCCATGCTAAAGACTTGTGTTTGTACGCCGCAAAAGCATACAATTGCGTTTCGACTGAGAACAAAACCAGCAACAACAACCCACCAACAACGGAACAGAGGAACAAAAAATCCCAGAAGTGCATTACAGTACAATAGAATGCTCGAGTTCACTTTAAATTCCGAAAAAAGAAGGGGCGAAACAAAAAAGAAGAAAATTTAGAACGTCGAATCGCAAACGCAGAACTGAAAATAATAATAATATGGATGTTTCTTTATTGTGCAAATATCGTGGTACATTATGGTTCAAAATCCATTAAAATGTAAAAGAATATTGTGTTCAACTTGAAAACTTTATAACTTGTGTATTCGGTGCTCGTGTGTTTCGTGTTTGATATACATACAGAACGCAAAAGGAAAGGAACAAAAATTGCAGAACAGAAAAACACTCTTAAAAAGTGCGCTTCCGTTTAGTTCCTGTTTTTTGGTTTCGTTTCTTTTTTTTTTCATTCCACTGTAGTGCTGGACATTGCAAAAGTTTTCATTCATTGGGATTCCGTGAAGAACTGAGATCGAAAACGTCTGTTTTTTTCTTTCGTTTAATTCGTTCTATTCAGTTGTGGCATCCGGGTTTTGTGCAAAGTGTCCGTTTCAATTGTTGATATCGATGTGGTAGTTTCAGTGCATTTAAGCGACGTTTTGGTTTTGCGGTGATTTATCGTGAGTTGACTCCAAAATCATACTCGATGTCTCCTATACATATACTCTCCATATATGCATATATACACGTACATTTATACCATTTTCCATTCTTGAGTAATTTTGTTTTCATATCAGAGGGGATTTGCTCGAGGAGTTCCACACAATCCCAACGTAGAAAATGGATTTATTATTCACTATTCGATCGCATTTATTAATTTTTCAAGGAATTTTCTTCTACTTTTGTTTTCGCTGGTTTTTTCTCTCTCTTCTCAGTATCAATGTTAAGAAAAGAAAATGTAATGGTTTTCGCTCAGAGTTCTCTCACTTTTATCGACAACGGGAGAAGAAGAAAACAAGACTGCAGAGCTTCGCTTCGCTCCGCTCTCCGTTCTTGAGTTTTTAGTTACTTAATCTATTTTGTTGTTTCACAACAAACTATTTTTTGGCGCACTACATGAAATGTATTTCATTAAAGTAACTTTGAAGTAATATATTTATTTGCAAAATGAATTACAAGATCTTGGTTTAATTTCTTTTTTGAAATATACTGCCCTTGATTTAAATTAAATAAATACTATGAGCATAGAATCTAAAATCACTTTAATTCTGTTCAAGACTCAGAAAATATTATACGAAAAATTAATGTAATTTTTAAACAACATTTGATAAAAAAAAATTGATTGGCGCTTTGAGACATTATGCACCTATTTGTCGTTACTGCCACTGTTTTAAATTAAATAAAAAATATGAGCATAAAATTCAAATTCACCATAATTTGTTTCAACACTCAAGAAGTATCTAGAAAAAAAGCAGATTAGTAGCTCTACATTTCATGTAGTGCTAAAAATATGAGATTAAATATAAAATTATTATTAAACGCTGAGCGTGAGCATAGCAACAACTGTTACGAGAGAAAAAAGTAAATATCCGCAGCGCTTGATTGTTTCACATAAGCGTTTTCCATTCTAGGAATGTAACCGTTATTGCCTCGAGCTTGCAAAATACGAAGAAGAAGAAAAAAACGATGTATTTTCTTCTCGACAAATAACTTAGTACATACGTTAGATTTTCATTCATTTACTTTGAGAAGAAAATCGCTTTTCATTCTCTGTTTTTGACATTTTTTTTTCTTGTTCATCTTTCTGTTGGTAAAAGTGTCGATTTTCTCTGTGTACACTATAAAACACATGCGGTGGGGGAGTTGACGACATCGTAACCGTTCCATAGCATTATTTAAGTATGCTCTCTCTCTATTTCTTGTTAATTTCTTCTGCGCTTTTTTATTTCCGTTTCTTGGAGAATACATTTGTTCTCCCGTTGCACAGTTCTAGTTTATTTAACAATTTTTTTGTCTCTCTCTCTCTCTCTCTCTCTCTATCTCTTTCTCTCTTTTTTTACGATATCTTCTTGCAAGAAGATGTTTTTATCCTTATTCAATGTGTCTATCTGTCTTTTACTTTGCTTTTGGCAATGTCTCAATGTACGAAACTTTAAACAAATTTTTTTTTTCATATATCCATCTCGCTCATTGCCTCGTTGTTGAGTTCTACAAGTTGTTTCTTTTTTTTCGTTTCGAAATTTGTTTGGATGTGTAAGCTCATTTCCCGAAGCTTGTTACAAGATCTTACATCTTATTCAAAATAGTAAATAACAGTTCCCTTCCAAGGGATCATTGGCAACAGCAACTATGATGAAAAAAAGAGAACGACAATGTCTATGAACTACATGAAAAGAAGCGGGTCGTACTTTTGCACATTAGATTGTTTGACCAATCATTGGACATATCCGTTTTCAAATTAGATTTCGAGCTGCACAGAGACGGTAGAGAGTCCATTTATTTATTTGTAATAGTGATACAAAATCTGTTTTGAGACAGTCGCTTGGAATTTCTCCATTTCATCTCGATGGAAAATCACAGGAAAAATCACATCTAGATGAAAATCAACGGCAATTTATCATCTCCTTGGAACGAAATGTTTATTGCCACACAATCAGTCCAAAAAAAGGACAAACAGTGAAATGTAAACACTTCATTTACGTAATTTAATCCTTTGTAGCATTTCATAGATCAAATTGTTTAGCAACTAAATGAAAGGGATAAAAGGGGAGAAAAATGGCAACAGACACACATTTTGCTGAAAACTAAGTGAATAATCCCCTCTAACACATCACATTTCATTTTTCCAACTGACATTAAACCTCTGTGCATCATGTATGAAAAAGCATCAATGGGAGAGACAATGTGTGCATCAGGTTTCTCCATACTTTTTCTATCTACCGCAGGCCTTTTTGTTTACATTGTGTTACGCTGTCAGTATTCATCTCGCAAAAATGTACAACGAGAAAGTTGCCAGAGTAAAACATGTCGAAGCAAATTCAGACTAAAAATACGTAGATAAACGTTTTTTCATTGCTTATGTTGGTTTAAGTGTCAGTGTGAGCCAGTCATACTGGCATAAGTCAGCAGAGTGACGGTAGCAGGCAGTCAGGTAGACAGGCCCCCATTGCATATACTAAAGCTGATTGCACGTTGGATTTATTATGATAAGAAAATGAACGAACTATGTATATGTTTTGTAATATGATCACATTTGTTATCACGGTGCAAACAATATCTGAGTGCGTAATTCGAAGCTAAGCCGACAACTTTGTCTCCAGTTGTCTCTCGACTTTGTTCAATTTACGAGAAAAATATTCAGCAGTTTGTAGTGGCACTTTGTTTTCACATAGACAATTTTGAAAGAGAATCCAAAATCAAAGATTTCAATCGCATTCTTTCTATTATTTACTTATATGCTTACTACCTGTTTATTCTAAATAAACAACCATTACATCGAATGCGATGCAATTAGATACAATCGGGAATTTTTCAATTAAATTTCTCCGAGTTGCAGATTTTCCAAACGGTTTATTTTGTTTGGTTTGCAGTTTTTCGTTTTGACTTTTGGAATGCATGACCGGATCGTATTCCAATTCAACGCAATAGAATCGAAGGATACTTCATTTGTTAGATCGTTTCCTATGCACTCGGCGAAAATGAGAGTTGAAATGTGGAGAAAAAAATGTATTCAGTTCAGATAAATAGAGTTTCATCAGCATGGAAGAGCATAAAGCCAATCGAACAATGGTTAGTTTTGCATTACAATACCGCACTCGCAATTCAGATGCAACGTGATGACCATTGGACAAAACAGCATTTCAAAAGAATAGACTATTTTTATTTCGATTCTACACCGGATGGTTTCGAATGCTCTCCGTAACGAAGACGAACAGAAAAAAAACTAATTCCAATTCGATTGGGTTCGATTTCGAGTGTATTGAATTGGCTTGCTATTGATTCTCTGGCGAATGAGAAATGAGAAATAAAATAAAACAACATAACTAATTGAAGAAAATCAAATAACCCAATAAATATACGTCCACAGCCACACATTGTGAGCACCGACACACACACACACACACACACACACACAAAAGAAAAAGAAGTCCAACATGATTTTGGTGCACATCGAATCGACAGACATAAAACAAAAACCCAGCCGTCAAAAACAAAAGAAGCATCAACGGCAGCGGCATTCCGTTATCGATTTCACTGAACATTCGCTGGGCGCAATTTCTCTCTATTATTATTTTTACGAGAGAAATAGAAAAAAAACCATCAAGAAAAAAAAACTGCTTTGCTTCTTTTTTTTATTTTCACTTGATTTGGTGTGCATTTCGTTTTGTGGTCAGACGTCTTTCAGTCTGCGCTCAGCATGCTGATGAAAATGTTATTGATTCCTTTTTTTTCTCCCTCTCTGTTTTCCGTTCGTTCGTTGGTCTGTGTGTCTCAAAAACACTTTTTCGATCTAATTTTGAGATTGCATACGATGAAAACTCGTTAAATTAATGGGCGAAAATCGTAGCGAACAATTTGGGAACGAAATCAAACATTACACACCGAAAAAGATCACACTTAAAATAGAAATAGTTAGCCGTAATGTTCAGTCGCAGTTGGTGTGCTGCTTTTGTTTTTCGGTTGGTGTGATGTGAGTTTTCTTTCTTTTCATTCATTTCGTTCGTCGAATTGACACACTTGTCGATTGACAGTATTGCCCGTAATTTGGGAGCTACATTTATTTATTTTGGTGTATGTGTGTGTGTGATTTCGAACCATATATTTTATTGTGATTTTGAACGCGTGGCGGTGGCGGCGACGGCCGAGATTTTTGTGGTCGCTTGACTTCGCAGACTCTCGAAAGCAATTGTCATTTGCATTTTTGCTGCGCACATCGTTTTCTCTTTTTTTCTTCAGTTTGCTCATTGTTTCTTTATTATTCTTCGTTACGCTGATCGAATATGTGTTGAAATGAAGATGATACGTGGTGCGCACGTCAATCCACGGCAAAAGTGAGTCATTTTCTGGCAATGCGTTTCTTTATTCTTCTTCATCGTCGTTGGTTTTTCTTTGTCTATTCTGTGTATTTGCCTCAATTCAAATCAAAGCAGCCGTTTTATGCTCGGACTATTTCTCTTCAGTCAGTCACAGTTGTTACGCTCGGTTGTTGTCATCGTGTGGCATGTATACTAATGTCTATTTGACACAACGGCACCATTTTTAGCCTAATTAATGTACTTATTTAATGCAATTGCGAATGAGCACAGTTCGTTGCTTAAAATTCATCAAAGCGACGGAAACAACGACGATGTGAACGAAATTACCGATTCGACGAGAGAAAAAAGCATTTTCAATTCAGAAGAAAAGAAAGTATACGACGAACAGAGAATTACAAAGAGTCGCACATCAGAGAAGAGGTAACGGACTTGCCGGGCTTCGTTTGTAAAATTGTAAATCTATTGCCAAAAAGAAGAGCAAAACAAAACAGCGCACACACCGTTGACGTTGCCATGTGAAGAGCGAGGAAAACAATTAAATCAAATCAGTGAATCGAAAGAATAGATTCAGAAGCATACGGCAAAAATCGGCATTGGTATTCCTCACTTGCGCTTGAAATTCTCCAAAAGCGATCTCATTTCTT